ACTTAGTGCACTCCAAGACCAAGTCAGGCAAGTCTGGTCAACAGTTATCTTTCAATTTTTTTTTTTTTATATAAACACAAAGTTCCCCATCAACCTTACAAAGAAGGGGAAAAAATTACAAGGGAATTTATACACAGTACCTGTATGGTATGGGAGTCCGTGAATTTGGCATAAGCATTGAGATAATTGACCTTCTTATCTCTAAGAGCTACACGGTAGCCCCAATTTAAAGATCCTATGTGGTTTTGAACCCCTTCCACCATCTTGTTCCAGTCATGAGCAACTGTCTCTGGGGTGTCCCATCCGAAGTCTCGAGAATCCTGGAGGTTGGCACAAGTAGCAAATAAATTGAAATGACAGACATTTCATTAACTTTTAATTAAAAAAACAAGCAACTGCAATTGCTATTACATTACAATAACAGAGTACCAAAGGATATGCAACTTTCTCCCATTTAAGAAAATACAAACATTATTAACTTATTGTCAAAATGTTTAATACCAAGGAGAATCAAGCTAACAGATGTACAGGCAATTCAAGAATCAACAAACAATACTACCTACATCTTGACAATAACATCCATAATATTTTATTACTTGGACTTAAAGCACTCTGCCACAAACATGTGCTATAGTTAATAACAAACCTGCAAATCGTGTCCAAAAATTGCTGCTTGATGCATTAACTTTTTGGGGATGCACCCAACATTGACGCATGTACCACCAAGGCCCCATGTTGTGCCCTTTGGGGTTGGAGTGACAAAGTCACACACTGCCACTTTGGCACCCAGATCAGCCGCCCTCTTGGAAGCCGCCAAGCCACCGGAGCCACCACCAATAACTATCTGTTGGAAAAGATACATATTGCAAGAAATACATGTACTAGTACTGTATAAATAAATATTTTATTACTTTTACTTAAGAAAATACTGAACAAACCTCAGAAACAAAATTAATTTCTATTTTTAAGTACCACAAATAAATAGCAATTTATAAACAAATTACTGAAAAACCAAAACCATTATATATAACTTAACTTTTACTTAAAATACTACATAAATACAATACTACAATAAAGTAATTTTATGTATTCTTACTGTAATGGAGAATGACATTTTCAAGAATTTATACATTATCTTTGTTAACCTAATGTACATACAGTAGCGTATTAAATTGTTGACAAATATTGATCTGATTTGTATACACAAAGTGGCTACTCAAATTAAGTCTTTCATTGCAACTGAACTGCAATTCTAGGAAATGTACTTAATTGTGTGCAACACAAAGAATAACTCTTACCAAGTCGTAATCAAATTCATGGTCAGATTTATTAATTAAAGGTAATAATGTGCCATTTGCATGAGCCTCGAAGGTCTTGTCTGCACCTCCAACGTGTTGCCCATTAATGAACACATTGGGTACAGTACTCTGGCCAGACTTTTCTGCTAGTGCATCTTGGATCTCCGCACCGTTATCTACAGAGAGAAGGACAGTATTTTCAGTGCTGAAAGACTAAAAGAAAACAAAAAAAAAAAGGCTCTCACATACACACGACCAAAATGAAAACGGCAAGATTATTAACCATCAAAATCTTATAGTTAAATGCTGTAAAGTAGAAGTCCACTATAATGTAAAAATGTCCAAATTGGAGAAATTTACTACAATGCCTTAGTGCTTAAATGAAGGTGAAGGAAGACAAAATATATGTGCAAGTGTATTAAAAACTAAATTTTTGGATGCTACCTACATCCTGTCTCAAGTTACCGTAAATAATGTCAGAACATTGCAATTTTATTAGTAGAAACTTTTCTAAGAAACTACTAGGTAATCAATTTCTGTACTACTGAAATTTATATATTTTTTTATTTATAGATACAAAGAGTTTTTACAATCGTGTACAGCCACTAGCACGCATAGCGTTTCAGGCAAATATCTAATGGAGATACAGTATTTAACAAAGACTTAGAAACTGATAAATACCTACTCCCCTTCCCATCACTGAATGACAATAAATGTCATTCAATGATGCCTTCATAATAATTCAAATTTTCTATACAAATATTTTGAAATGAACTCTAAAGAATAGTATTATTGGACCATGTAAAGCAAAATATTTATAGTTATTAAAGACACATGGCATGAGAAGCCCAGTCTAGTTGGACAACTACTGTTCAAATAGCATACAATACTATTTTTTAGCCAACCTACACGACTTGGAATATATTAAGTGTTTGTGCCGTCCATGGCTGCCACATCTACCACACCTTCACATTTTCATGTACTGAACTGTCCTATCTTATTTTTCTATCCTAATTCCTGGCATTTAAAGATACCCTATTTTGAATTAATGCTTCATTGTCTATGAACATATATTCAGTACAAAGTACAAGCTAAACCTAAGATGCAATTAATCAGTTGTAATGACCAATAAAAGATTGTACGTTTCTCACACTTAAAATTACTTGCTCACTTACAGTAAGAATGTATCAAGATCACAAATAACATGCCATAAAATAAAACAAAATTCGGTGTCGACGGTTCAGCAGAGTGGAAATCCCAGTGTTTTATACAGAAGAATTTCCTGGAAGTTCAGCCTAGTTTTTTCCAGAGCGTGACTTCACACACACATCCCGAGTTCATTTAAATAAACAAATAGTTCAACATAGTCTTATTATGCATGGCCACAAACCTTATTACAATTACCAATTTTATTTTATAAACTAGAAACTTACACAACTGATTACTAATGAGAAAAGGGGGGGGGGAAGAGAGAAAGAGAGAGATGGAAAGAACAATAAAGTACTGTATAGGTATAAGCCTAATACCTAATGTGTAATTAAAGCATGTACAATTTTATATATTCAGATGATAGTTTGTCTAGCACAATATAATAGATTTACAAATATTCAGACTAGTGAAAATTCTGTCCGAGAGGGGTCTTAATTAACTGAAATGTAGACAATAGTAGTTATGGTGGTGGAGAGAGAGAGAGAGAGAAGGAAATGAAGTGAAATACAGTATATATCAATGGCGATCAAGTTTAAATATTTAGGATGTGTGACTGATAACAGGAATTTGTTCAATGATGATTTGGATAGAAATGCCTGGGGAGGATGGAATACATGTGACATATACCTTCACTCTGTTTGCTTCTGTAATTGAACCCAGCAGAAACTGAGGGCCTGGATGTAAAACTATTGGTAGATAGTGCACAGGGAAACAAATCAAGTGTTGAATAATGAAAAGCCCTTTACTGGAGGGGGCCTATCAATAGCTCCATGAGCTACTAATAGGCCCCCCCCCCCCACTATGAGCTATTGGTACTATTCCAGCACAAATACAAAATACTGTAGTCAAATTTTAGGATATTGTACCAGGCCGCCAAGTCCCATCCTAACCAACTTGGAGCCGAGGCAAACATCTGACTCTCTATAAGGAGAGGCGAGCCTAAAGGTTGGAATTTTAACAAAACGAAGAAAACACCCACAAGAAAAGTTAAGCCCCCCCCCCAAAATTTTTTTTTAAACAAGATGAACTACTGTTGACACTAGGAAACTATCCAAATAGTTGTGTGCCCAACTGAGTAAGAAAGATGTGTGGGTGGCCAGAACCCCAGGTGACCTAGGCTACCAGGTCACCTCATGTTTAAGTTGGGGAGTTTCCTTGTGGCAATAATGGTATGTATTTTGTACCTCTGGGTTATCAATTTCTTTCAATCACTCTTTGCTGCACACTACCTTTCTTGCATTTTTGTTTATGGCTTTGAGTAGATCCGATCCTTCGGTTTACCTCAGAGCTAGATTCAGGTACAGTACTGGCTCCCGGTAGGCCAGGTGTGATTTTCCCAAAGCTTGGCTACAAAGTGCTTATGCTCGAGGAGTTACCGAGGAGATGCTCACAGAAAATATGGTAGCGAATAACTTAAGTGGTTCCAGTAACTGGCTTCTGTACTAGGCAAGATAAAAAAAATAATACCTTTCAACTCACCTATTTGATCAAGCTCCAGTGCTGTGTAAGTCACATTTATCTGGTTAAAGAGATCCTTCACCTGAAAAATGCAAAAGTTGATTTAGTGTACTAAAATACTGTAACTGGTTGGAAAGTTACAGCAAATAGAGGTTAAACCAAGATAAACAAGAACATTAGTCACAGTTAATAGAATGGATCATCCATTATGCCCTGGGCTATAAAAAAAAAATATATATAAAAAATAAATATAAAAAGGCTATATAAAAAATAAACAGCAGTTACCAAGGTCAATTAGGACTAGGCAAAATATAAACCCATTTTGTGCAGATTTAGTTAGTTTAGTTCATTTATTATGCACCCCATACAAGCTAAAAAAAAATTAGCTTGGTCAAAATGCCAGAGTCTGATTCAACCATCTAGGGTATAAAGTATCTTGTACCCATGAGCAAAGATCAGCATCAGTTTCGATAGATTTTCTGGATTGCCGAAGATTAACCGACTTAACTTATAGCCTAACCTTCTATAGCCTGCATCCATTTACTTAGATGCAGGTTATAGACAGTTCACCAATGCATTTTAGAGCCAACGTAACCTAATATACTGTATACAGTTTGACCATACCTCATATACATGCATTTTGCACACAACTTAGGGTATAAAACTGCACCTCTAAATGGTACTTTGTAAAGTACAGTAGAGAACTGTATATATAAAATACCTTCCTTGCTCAATATAGTGGTTAATCTCACCAAATCCAAACAAAAATAATACACTAATGTGATTCAATTCTTCAAGGTCATCCCCACAACGAGGCAACATTCCTAAGTAATGACTTTCTCACATTACAATTCCCATTCTTACAACCATAGTCCTGCTAAACTAACACTTATGGAACAATGTATCTCCCCAATAGCCTTACACACACAAAAATAACCATAGCCAAATACAATAGCTGTTATAGCATTATTGATGCTATAGGAATGCCTGACCTATAAAACCCCACGCCGACCAGACCAACGAGATATCTTTACACTTAAGTTATATGAGAGAGTAACTATATAAGACTGACCTTATGACAGAAGGGACAATAGGACTTGCTGAAGACCATGACCTCAAATACAATAGCCATTATAGCATTATTGACGCTATAGGAATGCTTGACCTATATAAAACCCACGCCGACTAGACTAACAAGATACCTTTGCATTTAGTTATACAAAAGAGTAGCTGTACAAGTCTTACCTTATGACAGAAGGGGCAATAGGACTTGCTGAAGATAGCATTATAGCTGTTATAGCATTATTGATGCTATAGGAATGCCTGACCTATATAACCCACGCCGACCAGACCAAGAAGATATCTTTACACTTAGTTATATGAAAGAGTAGCTGTATGAGACTGACCTTATGACAGAAGGGGCAATAGGACTTGCTGAAGATCATGACCTTGTTCTCCTTGACATAGTTGTCGACGAGGAGCGCCGCCGGCAGGTCAGAGGAGGAGAGGACGGGCGCCATCACCAGCAGGGACCTGGCGCCACCCACCGGGAACACACTCCCACACGCCCCCACGGTTCTCCCTTCGCTCCTACAAGCGGGGACACAACTCCAGGTGCACGAGGTGAGGCTCCTGCTGGTGCAGTGTGAGGGCTGGAGAGTGTGGCAGGCGTGGGAGAGGAAGCAGCGTGGCTGGAACACTGCTCTACGTAGCGTCGCGGCCGCCACCACCAACCTGCTCATGCCTGCTCCTCCCTCCCTACACTACCTTCCTCCCCCTCTACTACCTCTTACCTCACCTCTCACTCCCTCACCTCTCTCCCTCACCTTCACTGCTTCATTCTTCATTTGTTGTTTTAGATTCAGCTACTTAGAACAAAAGTTCTAAAGTAGCACGGGCTATGGTGAGCCCGTAGTGGACTTACCTGGCACAGGAGCGGGGCTGTGTTCATTGTTCAATAAATCCGAACTGTATATTTAACAGATCTCTAACCCTGTCCATGAAGAGCAGAAGAATATGTATATATGCTGGTTAGCATTGTAATTCTCTGGCCACGTCTGTGGTAGAAAATAATAATAATAATAATAAAACACCTTTCACCCCTCTCCCTCACCTTCAGCGGTTGATTGTTCAATAAATCCCTGAACTATATATTTAACAGATCTCTAACCCTGTCCATGGAGGACAGAAGAAAACGTATATATGCTGGTTAGCATTGTAATTCTTTGGCCACGTCTGTGGTAGAAAATAATAATAATTAAAAAAAACTCACCCCTCTCCCTCACCTCTCACACTCTCCCTCACCTCTCACCCTCTCCCTCACCTCTCACACCTCTCCCTCACCTCTCACACCCACCTACACACCACACACAACAGCCTAAAAGAAATCCCTTATTTTGTATTCGAATAAATGAGTTAAAAATATATATAATAGTGAATACATGCAAACTGCAGCGCGGGACCTCGTGACAGGACGCGCCACGGTTATCGTACACACAGGATGGTTATTATACAAACAGGATGGTTATCATACAAGCAAGATGGTTATCATACAAATAGGATGGTTATCATACTTATCATACAAGCAGGATGGTTATCATACTTATCATACAAGCAGGATGGTTATCATACTTATCATACAAGCAGGATGGTTATCATACAAGCGGGATAGTTATCATACAAAGTGTATGTAGGTCGCACCTACTCTTAAAGTACTTAAAAAACACTTTCGTCAGTCACTTATCTTATCTGGTCATCTTGAAACTCAGTTGATATGTCGACCACTAATGGATTTTTACGCATGTTTGTTAATATAATTTTTGGATTAACACATTTAGGTACATTTGTACAGCTACATTAGACTATATGAACTACAGTATGTCAAAAATCTATGGCTACGTGATGCTAAATATCCCTTATCACACAGGATGGTTAGTCATACAGAGGCATGTGATGAGTAGTCTGTACTGACAGACTTTGAGTGCATTATGAGGATATCCTCAAGAACACGTGAGGTAATAAAGTAATTGCAAAGCTCCAGGTATCTCATGCCAATGGGTCTGAAAAGTCTACTAACTGGGTACTCGGTGATGTAGTGTGAGAGATCAGTTTTGCACCTGGAGTGCTCAAGATTGGGAGATCCGTCACCTGTAGCCACCTGCCACTGGTAACGGCGTCACCTGTAGCCACCTGCCACAGGTAACAGCGTCATCTTTAGACACCTGCCACAGGTAACGACGTCACCTGTAGCCACCTGCCACAGGTAACAGCGTCATCTTTAGACACCTGCCACAGGTAACGGTAATCCAACCTGATAACTTAACATGTAGTTTACGGAATCATTTTTTAGTATTAACAATGAATTCATTACGAATCACGTGGAAAAGATAACAAACCGGTAACTAAATAAGTTTAAACGGCTTATTTTATTATTTGAATATGTTCTACCTTAGTGCCCGCTGGTGACGCTTACAAACACTTGCGTTAAAGAAAACGGTTTTGATAATACAACACCGAGACCTAAATGATTTAAAATCAAATAATGTAGCATGATATATTACAGTTATATGTGTGTGTATATATATACATAGATAGATAGACATAAAGATTAAATATAGCCTTACTAATTACTATACGCCTTGAAGGTGATTAATTTTTATCAGTTATAGTTCCTTAAACCATACCGAATTTAATCTGGTTAATGTGTGCCAGTCACCATGAATGCACTTCCTTGACGTTGGAATCCCCTGGAAGGTATCCTTGCATCACTGATGATTAGTCATACATGCCAGCAGGTATTATCTCCCATAATGCCACGTATGACTAACCTTCCTGTGAGATGGGAAAATACTTGAACCTATATGGCTAGTTCTTGATCTACACTGTGTAATATCTCATATAAAATTGAAATTGAAATTGAAATAAGTTTATTGATGTAAAATACACACAAAGGGATGAGGTAGCTGAAGCTATTCTCACCCCGTTCAGTACATTCGTGGTAACAGTCTCCGTGGTGTAGTGGTAAGACACTCGCCTGGCGTTCCGCGAGCGCTATGTCATGGGTTCGTATCCTGGCCGGGGAGGATTTACTGGGCGCAATTCCTCAACTGTAGCCTCTGTTTAACGCAACAGTAAAATGTGTACTTGGATGAAAAAACGATTCTTCGCGGCAGGGAATCGTATTCCAGGGACCATAGGATTAAGGACTTGCCCGAAACGCTACGCGTACTAGTGGCTCTACAAGAATGTAACAACTCTTGTATATATCTCAAAAAAAAAAAAAAAAAAAAAAATACATACATAGACACACATCACAAACAATAAACATATTACCAAACATTCTGAGAGATAAACATCTACATTTCCTTATAGAATAAGGTAGCACCACAGTAAGCGGTGTATACCTAATTTTGCTAATTAAAAAAAAACTGTTTGGCAAATATCTGTGCTAGTGGCAGATTATATTAAATCCTTCATTACAAATTCATTTGCAATAATGTTACCGAGGCTTTTTATGATATTTTTAATTTACGAATTCTTGGTCGTAATTTAAGTTGTGTTTATTATTTAACACACGAAACCTGGATATAAATTGCCTGTTGGCAACTGTGTTATTGCTATTTGGTGGTCATGGCCGGGAGAGGAATTTATGGGCTATTCATGCCCCTGCCACCTCTTGGGCTGGCTTAATCTTTATCACTCAATCGGGAGAGCAAGTCTACGCAAGCTACCAAAGCGCGCACGTTCAGTCATATAAATTTCAGCATGGATAAGATCCACAGGACCGTGATGGCATATTGGTTTGCATTTTCTTATATCTCTTGATTTCAGTGATTGTTTTCTGCCTGACCGTTTCTAAGACGTCAGGCTGCGAGCCTGACACTACGAGTCTGATAGGCTATGTCAGGCTGCAAGCAGCCGCGTCCAACAGCCTGGTTGATCAGTCCAGCAACCAGGAGGCCTGGTCGACGACCGGGCCGCGGGGACGCTAAGCCCCGGAAGAACCTCAAGGTAAGGTAAGACAGAGTGAGTGATCGTGAGAGCTACTTTCCTTTCAACCTGTCCTCAGGGAGGAGGTCCGCTCAAGGGAATGGATTGGAAACAACTACATAATTATTGGTATTATATGTACTCTTTATCCATGGTTAGGCGAGGTTAAAGTTTGGTTAGATTTCATTAATATTGTGTGTTATTGACGATAATGTGAAATATGGAATTAAAAAACTATTTAAAGTGTGTCCAAGAATTCAGTTTACAGAACGCCAAATTCTTCAAAGAAAACGTTTTCAGCATACACTTTCAATATTTTAAACGAACAATTTATAATACATTAAAGTTATAATTTGGGAATACTGTCTGTTTAGGACAAGGGTTCACTTGCCAGTTTACAAGTAGACTGTTACTGAAACCATAATGTTTTCAAAACCCTCACAAATATGTAGATAACTATCCAGGTGGCTTGAAAGGGGGTGTGGTTTCTCGTGGTAATGAACTTGGTCTAAGGACAGGCTCTTTCCTTTATGTCCTTCTTAGTGTAAGAATGACAATTAACGCATTGTGAGTGCTTGATTTTTAACTCATGCTTTTCTTTCATTTCCATTTTGGGATTATTTAAAATTACCATATATATATATATATATATATATATATATATATATATATGTCGTACCTAGTAGCCAGAACGCACTTCTCAGCCTACTATGCAAGGCCAAATTTGCCTAATAAGCCAAGTTTTCATGAATTAATGTTTTTTCGACTACCTAACCTACCTAACCTAACCTAACTTTTTCGGCTACTTAACCTAACCTAACCTATGAAGATAGGTTAGGTTAAGTTAGGTAGGGTTGGTTAGGTTCGGTCATATATCTACATTAATTTTAACTCCAATAAAATAAAAATTGACCTCATACATAATGAAATGAGTAGCTTTATCATTTCATAAGAAAAAAATTAGAGAAAATATATTAATTCAGGAAAACTTGGCTTATTAGGCAAATCGGGCCTTGCATAGTAGGCTGAGAAGTGCGTTCTGGCTACTAGGTACGACATATATATATATATATATATATATATATATATATATATATATATATATATATATATATATATATATATATATATATATATATATATATAACTGCAAACCCATTTTTAGTCGGATTACGAGAGCCATTAGTATAAATTTCATTTAATTAATGAATTGTCTCTTTATTAACTGCCTCCAGATAAAATGTCAAATATATTGTTGGATTTATAACAATAATGTATAACAATGTTAATTTATATTTGAGAAAATTCCCATTTTGAATGAACAGAATGTTAAAATTGATGAATGCGTCTTTGGGGTCGACAGCTGGATAGAATGGACTTGGTCTAAGGACGGGTTGTTCTACAGGTCACTCAAGACGGGAATAGCACCATTATTATTTGTAGGGCAATAATACAGATATATATATATATAATGTAACTATATAATTTAAACATAATTTACTGACACAGTGGAATGGAAGATGGAGTGTGTGAAGGAGGAGGGAGGGATGGAGACGGAGTAAGACCCACTCTACATAGAAGGTATGGAGACCCACATCGTAACCATGTAAATCTCTACATGGTTACATAATTAGGAAAACATTTGGAAAATGTATACAATGTCATACTGACTTTTTATTTCATTTGAATATACCATAAGAGACATCTACCGCATAGGGTCTTGCTGTCAGACCTACACAACACTGTAAATGAACCACAGTATTAGTTTCTTATAACATGCCAAGAATATATCCGTACCCTTTGATGAGAGAGAGTTGAGGATCAAGTTTAACAGTGGTACTGGAGTAATGGGCTTAGTTTCTGAGTCCATTATATATACCCTAATGTTTCCCACTACCACTCACACAATGGGTATGGGGGCTACTACCTCTCGCAGGATGGGTATGGGACCCCACTACCAGTCAGAGGATGGGTATGGGGCCCATAATAAATTACTTTAACTACTGGAGTAAAATAGTGAAAAGTGGGTGAAAACTGTCTCCGGACAGCTGATTGACACTTCATGATGGTTGATGAATAACGATGATAATATATGAGACACTAACAGGGTTCTTGTGCCCAGGTGGGTAACACCAGGGCCCTGACAAGAATGAGAATATGAAACTAAAATACTGCCCTGACTGGGGGCTACTGCTAAATGCATTCGAATGTACACATTCGAATGTGTTGAAACATCATAAATAACTTTACATACAAGAGATAATGTGCCTATATCTAAGATCCGTGTGTCGCCCTTCACAAGAGGGCACGGCTAGGGTGTTTCTCCTTTATCCAAGAAACACGGGTCTGGGGTAGTGGCGTCGGCTTGGTCGGAACTGGACGCGGGCACCCAAGGGAAGAAGTCGGGAAGCCTCTGGTATTAGGTGCGAGAAGGGCCGTCCTGCAGTGAAGCCACGGGCTTGTCGCCCCTCTGAGGTCCTCCCAGGCCGGTTGAGAGTGAGGGCTGAGGGAGCGAGGGGAACGGATACAGGTTGTGGGATGAACCCGGTAAGGGGAAGTATGCTGTGGTGGGAGAACGAGCGACCCTCCGCCACTGGCGGCAATACTGGCGGTGCTAACAGACCTGACTTTGTCATGTCCACACGGGATGTGGCTACGGCCGTCGAATTCACTGGAATCTCTCCTTCATTAGATAGGAATTTTGGGTTGGTTTTAAAGCTATTAGTATACTGATTGTCTTTGCCTGTCTTCTCGCTGAGTTGGAAACTATCATCAGAATCTAATTCGGAAGTGAATTTAGAGTTTTCATCATATTCCAGACTGTAGTCTGCTCTTTCACCAAACACAGATTCAGGATTGGTTTGACTATTTTTATAAGACACAACCTCAAGAGTCGGTTGAGAAATGGCACTTGAATTGAATTTCGGATTCGGGCGAAAGCCTTCACTGTCAAAAAGTTGGCTAGGCCGGAAGTCTTGGTTAACCTGCAGATAAACTGAGAGTTCTGTATCCTGGTCAGGTCCCGGATTTGGTTCAAAATTAAGTGACTGCGAAACGTCGACAAACACCACGTCGTTTTCCCGAGCAAAAACATCTCGCTGAAGGTATTCCAGCGGAAGAGAGACGACAGTAGCAGATGCCCGGGGTGAGCCCGGGCTCTCCTGCCATGTCTCAAGATACTTATTCCCATCCAGGATTTGTGTTGTTGTCGGGGGTGGGAAGTTGGCATCAAGAGTGTTGATGCTAGGCTCCTTGTTGGACACTAGAGCAGTGTCTTCCCCGACGGAGGTGTTGAGCTGAGCGTCTGTGGCAACACCTTTCTCCCAGTCACCATACAGGATGGTTGTGATGGTGGGTGATGGTGGCTCAGCAACACTCAGTGTTCCACCAGTCAAGGCACTGTTACCTCCATAGTCAGCAACACTCAGTGTTCCACCAGTCAAGGCACTGTTACCTCCATAGTCGGCAACAGTTTTCACACTGTCTGATGGGTTCTCAAGAGTGATGACACTGTTGGGTTGAGGGGCACTAAATTCACTGAAGTGCACAGTGGCTGCGCCGTGTACCAAATCTTCGAAGGAAGGTACCGCGCGTGCCCCACTGGCCTGGCTTCTAATACCCGTCTCGGGAACCACAAGATATTGTCGTGGAGGATTATATTCTCTGGGCGAGGGCTCCCCCACAGTAAGCGAGGCGCCCACAGTAGCAGGGAAGGTATTGCCGAGGGGCGTCCCAGAGACGATGTCGCCTGGGTGGGGCGGGGCATAGCCGGTGGAGTGAGAACTTGCAATTGGAAAAGCAGCGCTGATCACAGACGGGGGAACCATGCCGTAGCTTGGAGAGTTTGGTCGCTGCACTACAGAGTTAATCTTAGGTCCACCAAACTCTGACAACTTCGTGGCAGGCTGGTAAGCATAAGGCTTGGAGGCATAAGACTTTGGAGCGTAAGGCTTGGGGGCGTAATACTTTGGGGTGTAAGGTTGGTGGGCATGAGGCTGGTGGGCATGAGGCTGGTGGGCATGAGGAAATGGCATGGTGGGCACCCACTTGGCCAAGTACTCCGGCTTTGATTTGGGTAGCCAGCGGGGTATGTAGAGCGGACGGGGCACGTGGAGGGGCATGTTGTCAATGTCACCTCGACCCAGCCACTTGAAGGAGCGACTGTGGCCCGCGGGACGAATGATCAGGTTGACATAGTTGTTACTGTAGCTCGCCACAGTTAGGTCCAGAGTTAGTAGGGTACACACCACCAAAAGAACCACCTGCAATTAAGAAGGAGTTGTAGTTAGTGGACAGCGTGTAGTTAGTGCAGGCAGGCGGGTTAATGAAGCACCACATACACAATTGTCACCAGGGACGGTGAAAAGGTATTTGGTACAATAGGCAAACTTTGCATGACAAAAAAAGGTTTTATATTTAAAAACAAAATGCCCCTTCTTTAATTTGTCGCCCCTGGAAGTTTTATAGTTTGCTGAGTGATTGCACCGGCCCGGGTTGTGCAGCAACATGCACACTGCGTGTTACAAGCAACTATGCATGTGTAGGTCTGTTAATCTACGTGTATGCACTAGATTAGGGAAGCAACGAGGCACTGCAGTTGACTATGAGTCCTTAACACTGTTATCAGGCGCAAAGAATTAGTGGTCACTTCACTCTAGCGAAGAATGTCCTGAAGAATGCCGGTGGCCTTAGGAGGCAGGAAGGACTGCTCAGAGGACGGGCTGAGTGGCAGGGCGTGATGCTGGGAGGACAGACGCCACACCAAAGGGCGCCGGTAGGTAGGTGGCGCTGGAGTAGCTTGGAGACGACGTAGGGAGAGCGGCAAAGGGCAGTGAGACCTGAGGAGCGGGGACCTGCAGCAGCGGCGCTTGTCGTAGGGAAGGTTGTGGCACGCTTCCTCCTACAGGATCTGTGGCGTGATAGGGCGCCGGTTTCTGGCTCCTGTCGTAGCCACCGGACAATGCCACAGAGTTCCCGCCAGGAGAGCCGAAGCCTTGTGTAGGGTTGGGGTCAGGAAGCCTGGTGCGACCATGTGAGAAGCCCTTGATGGGTGCCTGTGTGAGGGAGAACCAGTAGGCGGTGTAGGTAGGATCCATGTAGGGTATCCACTTGGGTATAATGTAGGGCTTGGGTACGGCGAGAGGAAGGTAGTCGGAGTAACCATAACCCGCCCACTTGTGCTGCTTACTGGGTCCTGCCGGCACCACGACGTAGGCTTGGCGGGGTGGGGCGTAGTCGCCGGCCACGATACACGCCCACGCCCACGCCATTACCAAGCCCTGAAACATCATCACCATTATCATCACCAGCGGCTGTCTGGGGAGAGTGGATGAAACCTCACAAGAGAAACATGACTGGAGCGTGTTATAGCGCCCTACCTGAGGACCGTAGCGCGTGCTTATTATTATTATTAACATCTTTATTGACAAAATTAATTACAATTTTGCCTAATCTGAGGATTTTGATAGTCTTATTAAAGTGAGGATAATGCTGGTATTCACTATCACGCAGGACACAGGGTCATACATAAGACAATAGGTCTAAACTGTAGGCTGAAGCACATATATATCATGGTTACAATCAATGTTTTAATGTATGGATATGTGAAAACAACTTTCTACTGTGCACTGCCACACAAGGGCAGGGGCTCCCGTCTGCACACTGGCTGAACTAGCCATTACGGTTGACGTTATGAAAGAATCTACTTCATTTAGTTTATGGAGAATAAAATACGCGTGAAATAAGGTGTAAGCAAAGTTACGCGTGTCATCCAGTAGGCTAACACTGGCACAACAATACGTCTGCCCTGGTAGCATCCTTGGCGCCAAACATTCACTACTCTAGTTGCAAGCAAATGGAAATGTAAGTACTGTAGTAGGAAGTATATCTCTTTTACAAAGAAAAATATAAAATTATATTTTTTTCATTATATGACTCGTTTCACCAAGCTACTGCTATACAAGAGTTGTGCATCATTGTTTTCAATAATATACTGGCAAATACTAAACAAAGTTAAGACCAATTCATAACAATACAGTATATTATGGATGTCGTTATGGTAAAATAATTGAGATTCCGTATATTCGAAATATTTCCAGCATTTAAATAAAATAACAAATAAATGTTTATTCAGGTAAAGTACATACATACAAGAGGTTATACAAAAATTGATAGATTTATAGATAGAGCTAGTACATACAATGCCTAAAGCCACTATTACGCAAAGCGTTTCATTTGTCCCAAGGAAGCTAACTTATGTGTGTACTGGACGCCGCACCGAGCCCCCACATCCTGGACTGCACATATGCAACAGCGGCAGATAATGTCATTAACCTGAAAAAAGTACCAATCTTTAGTGAAGAGAAATGTAGAGGAGGGGAGGAAGTTAAACAACGTTGCTCCATGGGATATTTAACGATTCTGACTCGCAAGGGAAAGCGGGTCTGATCCCCGCCATCTGTCAACAACCGACCGTCAACACAAATAAGACAAAGCAACTATGAAGAACGTGATGGAGAGCACTTTGAGAAGAGGAGCAGCGAGAGGAGGAAGAGAAACGGAAGGAGGCAAAGAGATGAAGCAGAGGAAAGTATGGATATATAGGTGAGGAAAGGAGAGGCAGAGAGAGATATGAGAGGCATAGAAGAAAATAAATAAGACAGTTAAATAAAAGAAGTATGAGAGGAGGAAGGGAAGTGATGATGGTAATGAGGAGAGATGAGTGGAAGAAGAGAGGTGAGGTAAACTTACACAAGGGAAAGCGGGCCTCGCCAAGAGAGGAGGCCTCAGGTGTAATGTGCATTTAAACAACACCAGCTTGTGGCTCTCTTGACCCACATTGTCGGCGGCCGCTCTCTGCCCCTCCCCCTCCTCCCCTCTTCTCACTAATTACTACTGGCATTATTATTAGTATTAATTATTATTATTAGTAGTAGTATTATAGTGTGGGCGGTGGTGGACGCTTCACCCTGTGTGTGGGTGGTGGAGGACCCCACACCCAGTGTGTGGGTGGTGGAGGGCCCCACACCCAGTGTGTGTGTGGTGGAGGGCCCCACACCCAGTGTGTGTGTGGTGGAGGGCCCCACACCCAGTGTGTGGGTGGTGGAGGGCCCCACACCCAGTGTGTGGGTGGTGGAGGGCCCCACACCCAGTGTGTGTGTGGTGGAGGGCCCCACACCCAGTGTGTGTGTGGTGGAGGGCCCCACACCCAGTGTGTGGGTGGTGGAGGGCCCTACACCCAGTGTGTGGGTGGTGGAGGGCCCCACACCCAGTGTGTGGATGGTGGAGGGCCCCACACCCAGTGTGTGGGTGGTGGAGGGCCCCACACCCAGTGTGGGTGGTGGAGGGCCCCACACCCAGTGTGGGTGGTGGAGGGCCCCACACCCAGTGTGTGGATGGTGGAGGGCCCCACACCCAGTGTGTGGGTGGTGGAGGGCCCCACACCCAGTGTGGGTGGTGGAGGGCCCCACACCCAGTGTGTGGATGGTGGAGGGCCCCACACCCAGTGTGTGGGTGAGGTGAAAAGACTGGAGTCACAAAGAGTCCGGAAACTGGACCCTATGTTCTTTAAGTTAAATACTTTACATTTGTGTTTAATTACATATGATTATAATGTAATTATCATGCCACGGAAGTCATTACGGTCACGCAATGGGGTCGAGGACGTGCTACAGGTACAAGTCTTGGCTACGAGATCTGCATACTTGTTATAAATGTATCAAATCCAGAAAATTGTGGGGGGGGGGGGGTGTAGCAAGTCGAGGACCCCCCACACCAGACCAGAGTGCAGGAAGTGATGTGGGGGGGGGGGCCAGACGCCCCCACACGCAGTACAAGCAGTTGCTGTTCTTGGGGAATGTATATTATTACCTCAATACACTTCCTTCGCCTTAAATGTGGTCACTATAAAGAGGATCTAAAGTCACAGTCTAAAGACGGTCGTGACATTTTTATGGCCTTAATCTTGGACTTTCAATGGATATATTTATTTATATGCGTGTAATTATGAATATATATCTCCAAGTCCATCTTCACTGCTCCGTGCAGCGACCATCCCAGCCAGTGGTGGGGGTTGTTTTAGAGTCAGCTACTGGGAAGAAAAAGTTGCAAGTAGCACGGGCTATGGTGAGCCCGTAGTGGACTTATCTGGCACAGGAGCTGTATGGATCTGGAGCCAGTGGCTTGGATCTGTCACATAATCGAATTGATTATATGACAGATCATGCTTGAACGTCATATAACAATAACGTAAGCTAACCATTGTCACCTCACCTGTGTGACGCATGATTTTCTTACACAAGCGCCCCATCCACAACCCCGCCCACTGAACAACGACTGGAACCACACCAGAACTGCCCCGCCCACCCGCAGGAATCATTCCCACCCACCGGAACCGGCGGCCCCGCCCACTAAGCAGGTGTGTGTGCGGTGTGGTCATAAACTCCACCTGTTTACATTCCGGTGCGGCGCTGGAGGATGCGGGTAACTGGACCAAACCGCAGACATTCTCCAGGTATTTGCTCTCCCGTAGAATACTTGGTGACCGCTGTCCTTGCTCTTCCCTTGGTCTTGATCCGTCCATCCTTCCATCTGTCTATATTTTCCTGTCTATACCTCTCTGTGTCTGTCTACGACTCCTTCCATAGCCTAGTGTTTGTTGAGGCGTGTAAGCTGGTGGTGGTGTCATTAAGGTTCACTCTCTAACTCTCTCATTACAAGTGGCCTCCCCCCCCCCCCGTAACAACGCTCACTATATTACCTCTCTCACCATTTACTTGATTGTTTTGACATAGATAGTTTGAACAGATTGTTCTGACATAGATTTCCCCCGACCTGTTCCTCATTGCCTTGCCCTGATGGCGTAGCCTGAGGCGTCCATCATGTTATGTTGTTTCCCGCGCGGTGAGGTCCTGGTGGGTTGAGTCACGGTGCTCCGGACACCAGGGTGGGGGGCGCTGCCCTCACCACCAGGGTGGGGGGCGCTGCCCTCACCACCAGGGTGGGGGGCGCTGCCCTCACCACCAGGGTGGGGGCGCTGCCCTCACCACCAGGGTGGGGGCGCTGCCCTCACCACCAGGGTGGGGGGCGCTGCCCTCACCACCAGGGTGGGGGGCGCTGCCCTCACCACCAGGGTGGGGGGCGCTGCCCTCACAACCAGGGTGGGGGCGCTGCCCTCACCACCAGGGTGGGGGGCGCTGCCCTCACCACCAGGGTGGGGGGCGCTGCCCTCACCACCAGGGTGGGGGCGCTGCCCTCACCACCAGGGTGGGGGGCGCTGCCCTCACCACCAGGGTGGGGGGCGCTGCCCTCACCACCAGGGTGGGGGGCGCTGCCCTCACCACCAGGGTGGGGGGGGCGCTGCCCTCACCACCAGGGTGGGGGGCGCTGCCCTCACCACCAGGGTGGGGGGCGCTGCCCTCAGCACCAGGGTGGGGGCGCTGCCCTCAGCACCAGGGTGGGGGCGCTGCCCTCAGCACCAGGGTGGGGGGCGCTGCCCTTAGCACCAGGGTGGGGGGCGCTGCCCTCAGCACCAGGGTGGCGGTGTTGCCCTCAGTGGCGCCCCGCGGGTATAACGAGGATTTTTTGCCTATTATAAAATTTAATTTTTCAGTTAGGTGTCGGAGTGCCTCTCTGTCTGCGGGTATGTCCGCCCACCGTGTAGTATAGCCTGGCACGCCCACACACCCACACGCCCTGTGGGTGATGGCGTTGATCTGAGCCCAGGTGTTCTGATCTAAAATGTCATCCTCGGATCTGATTTGAGTTGATATGGTCTACAGTGACGTACTATGATGTGATGGTGAGGTGCCTGGTGTGGGTGATGGTGAGGACCGCCTCCTTCACGAGAAGGGTAAACACACACAGGTGAGTGTGAACACCTGACCAACAGAAGATGACAACTTCAACGGAAGTTTGAATTTGCATCTCTGGTCTCCAACGACCGTCGAGAAAGATAAAATCAAAGAGAATGTTTCTTCAATAGTCACATGTTGTGAGGAGTGAGTGTGGAAGCTATGAGCTCCTGGTGGGAGGGACCTGATCAACTGAGCTGTGAGTAACAAGTGCTACACACGCACTCTTCCCCGCCTCCTCTACTTGCACTCACAAGAGGAAAGTGCAAATACACATTTAAGGTGTCTGGTCATGTACTCACAATAACGTGAGCACTGAAGACACACACTAAACTTGATCAATTTGTATCTCAGTTGTTAGGCAAAATTGTAATTAATTTTGTCAATAAAGATGTTAATAATAATAATCTCTTGTTTCGGGTTTTAGTTAGAGTTGATACATTATTAATACTGTCTTGGGTATTCCCGCTCATCCATTAGCATACGTCAGTCATGTCACACTCTTCAGTGGTCTCAAGAATGTCAATTAAGCTTTCTTAACCTCTTTGCATAAGGGAGGTGTCTAATTGATGGAGATAAGTGTGTCATCTTTGTCTGTCTGTCCCACGGTACTGTGTCATCCTGCACCTTAGTGTAAACTCTCTCTCTCTCTCTCTCTCTCTCTCTCTCTCTCTCTCTCTCTCTCTCTCTCTCTTGATACAAGTAAGCACTTAAATACTGTAAATCATCATGTTGTGAGGGAGAGAGAGGGAAGGGAGAGAGAGAGAGAGAGAGAGAGAGAGAGAGAGAGAGAGAGAGAGAGAGAGAGAGAGAGAGAGAGAGAGAGAGAGAGAGAGAGAGAGAGAGAGAGAGAGAGAGAGAGAGGAAGGTGTGGAATGGGGAGGTAGGAGGAGGCTCAGAGAATTATAGACACTCTACTTGCTTCCCTCTCAACCCTCCATCCATACACCCTTTATCCTGTTTATCAGCTTTCCCTTCTCTCCCTCCCGCCTACCGGAGCCGTCGCCGCCACAGAGAGTGTGAGAGGCAAGTGGTGCTGGAAGAGGGAGTGACCTCAACCACCACACTAACAACCCACCACAAGTACCGCTCACTAACGACCCCATGATCACTCCCCCCCCCCCCCAACACGGGCAAGTAGCATAACCACGTAGCAACAGTAATACCAATTACCATAATCAAGTAACATCAACGGTAAGAAACACGATTTAATAGCAACAATTAAGACGTAATATAAACAACAATATTGCTAGTAACACAACCAGGTAACACCACAGGTAACACCATCAATAATCATTAAGAAATAATTAATTTACAAAATAGTTATCTGACTATAAATGAACTAACTATATAACCCAAACAAGAACACAGCGCCAATACATAAACAAAACATCACTCATGTAAACATTGTTTGCCACTTGTTCGTCTCCACAACTGTTGTAGTGTATTAATGCTCCTTTGCCATAATTACGTGACCCCTGTTGCCATAAGGCAAGCAAGGTGTCCTAGCCAGGCTACACGACACACTCCTGCCACGGCAAGCACTCACTAACCCCACATTAGCACACAGACTTATCACCGCACAGTTGCCATGCCTCTCACCCTTGCCATGGTTCCCAGTTGCCAGCGAGGTCCTGTGAGGCGAGTGGCGATGTATCTGCTAGAATGGACCATCCAGGAATGAACGGTGTGAAAGTTGGCACCCTCCCTTATATACCTTCAGTCACCCTGGTCCCGCCCACTCCACCCACGCCCAGTACTGTGGACACACTACACCCAGTACTCTGGACACCCTACACCCAGTACTCTGGACACACTACACCCAGTAGTGTTGGCACCTATAGTGCCAACATATCACATAAAAATAATACTCTTGAAGTGCCAGGAGTTATCATTAATTGCATCAACAATTAAGGTGTAAAAACTACAATTAGCAAGATCACCAATGATATAATTTAGTAAACTAAAAGCCTTGTCAACATAAAATTCAATATATTATCCTGCAAGTACTGTGTTTGTCCTCCACCACGCTAAGTAATTGTTCTTGTAATAATACTGGAAGTATTTGTCATTGAAATTCCTATAGTTCTTTCTTTGCGATGTAAATTCTTGTAAAAATCATTCTGCGCGCCAGAGTTCCGTCGTGACGTACAGATATTAACTAAGCAAGTCTCACGAATCACTGGACGACCGCAGGGGGCCGCAGGGAGCCGCAGGGAGCCGTAGGGGGCCGCAGGGAGCCGCAGGGGGCCGCAGGGAGCCGCAGGGGGCCGCAGGAAGCCGCAGGGAGCACCAGGAAGCGCCAGGAGAAGCTGAACGCAATAATTTTTATCTAGAGAGAAACTTACCACCAAATTCCTGCGTGAGTATTTGTAGGTCTGTCTTGTTACTGAGGTCCTGTCCCCCGCTGCCTGTAGTTAGTCTTCACTGCTACAGTGCTACTGAGATCTATCTTGAGGTTATCTTGAGATGATTTCGGGGTTTTTAGTGTCCCCGCGGCCCGGTCCTCGACCAGGCCTCCACCCCCAGGAAGCAGCCCGTTACAGCTGACTAACTCCCAGGTACCTATTTTACTGCTAGGTAACAGGGGCATAGGGGGAAAGAAACTTTTGCCCATTGTTTCTCGCCGGCGCCCGGGATCGAGCCCGAGACCACAAGATCACAAGTCCAGCGTGCTGTCCGCTCGGCCGACCGGCTTCCCGGAGATAGTTACAATCTTATCACAAGGCCCAACAATCATCTTGGCTCATTATGCAACTTCCTTGCAAAATATACTTCCTCGCGTATGTATAATTGCAATATACCTACAAAAGACAATGAAGTTATTAATACACAAATTTCTCAAGAGTGATTTACACACAGACGCCATCTACACCCTGGATCACTTGAGATGGAGTTATGTGGTCAACATATCGGTAATTGTGATATAATATACAATATACCAACATGAGTGGTGGTTGGGGCGGGGTATCTGTGATTACCTGAAGGGTGAGGCGGGGTATTAGTGATTACCTGATGGGTGAGGCGGGGTATTAGTGATTACCTGATGGGTGAGGCGGGGTATTAGTGATTATCTGATGGGTGGGGCGGGGTATTAGTGATTATCTGATGGGTGGGGCGGGGTATTAGTGATTATCTGATGGGTGGGGCGGGGTATTAGTGATTACCTGATGGGTGAGGCGGGGTATTAGTGATTACCTGATGGGTGGGGCGGGGTATTAGTGATTATCTGATGGGTGAGGCGGGGTATTAGTGATTATCTGATGGGTGGGGCGGGGTATTAGTGATTACCTGATGGGTGAGGCGGGGTATTAGTGATTACCTGATGGGTGGGGCGGGGTATTAGTGATTACCTGATGGGTGAGGCGGGGTATTAGTGATTATCTGATGGGTGGGGCGGGGTATTAGTGATTATCTGATGGGTGGGGCGGGGTATTAGTGATTATCTGATGGGTGAGGCGGGGTATTAGTGATTATCTGATGGGTGGGGGCGGGGTATTAGTGATTATCTGATGGGTGAGGCGGGGTATTAGTGATTATCTGATGGGTGAGGCGGGGTATTAGTGATTATCTGATGGGTGGGGCGGGGTATTAGTGATTATCTGATGGGTGAGGCGGGGTATTAGTGATTATCTGATGGGTGAGGCGGGGTATTAGTGATTACCTGATGGGTGAGGCGGGGTATTAGTGATTATCTGATGGGTGAGGCGGGGTATTAGTGATTACCTGATGGGTGAGGCGGGGTATTAGTGATTACCTGATGGGTGAGGCGGGGTATTAGTGATTATCTGATGGGTGAGGCGGGGTATTAGTGATTATCTGATGGGTGGGGGCGGGGTATTAGTGATTACCTGATGGGTGAGGCGGGGTATTAGTGATTACCTGATGGGTGAGGCGGGGTATTAGTGATTATCTGATGGGTGAGGCGGGGTATTAGTGATTATCTGATGGGTGGGGCGGGGTATTAGTGATTATCTGATGGGTGAGGCGGGGTATTAGTGATTATCTGATGGGTGAGGCGGGTATTAGTGATTATCTGATGGGTGGGGCGGGGTATTAGTGATTATCTGATGGGTGAGGCGGGGTATTAGTGATTACCTGATGGGTGAGGCGGGGTATTAGTGATTACCTGATGGGTGAGGCGGGGTATTAGTGATTATCTGATGGGTGAGGCGGGGTATTAGTGATTATCTGATGGGTGGGGCGGGGTATTAGTGATTACCTGATGGGTGAGGCGGGGTATTAGTGATTACCTGATGGGTGAGGCGGGGTATTAGTGATTATCTGATGGGTGAGGCGGGGTATTAGTGATTATCTGATGGGTGGGGCGGGGTATTAGTGATTATCTGATGGGTGAGGCGGGGTATTAGTGATTATCTGATGGTGAGGCGGGGTATTAGTGATTATCTGATGGGTGGGGCGGGGTATTAGTGATTATCTGATGGGTGGGGCGGGGTATTAGTCATTATCTGATGGTGTGATATATATGTTGTTAAATATGACCGAAAAAGTAAGATTAATAATTCTAACACGAATTTATATATATATATATATATATATATATATATATATATATATATATATATATATATATATATATATATATATATATATATACATTATATATATATATATATATATATATATATATATATATATATATATATATATATATATATATATATATATATATATATATATATATATATTTGTGTGTAATATTAACACTTGTGTAACAAGTTTGATAAGCTTGTCACTTGCTTAGCTAAACGAACTCTGTGCTTCAGTCCCTGAACACAGACAGATGTGTTTACATGTGCCTCTGTAACCCTCTCCACCACCACCCACAGGAGGATGGGTATGGGGTGCATAATAAAGACACGAATGGCAAAAAATGTGTCGACGATTAACACAATGTCCTTGGACGACTTCAAGGACACCTTTCCCAAACAAGGTGCTGGAAAAGGTACACAGCAATGTGGACTCACGAGACTGTTGTGACTCGCCCTTGGGTAGGAGCAGAGGTGTACATGCGCGCGCTACCACCACACATAGGCCTCCCCAGCCTATCCTCTAACCCCCCTCACAGCAGGTGAAGGTCATGACCTTGAAGAAGACCAACTTCTCAACAGCGTAGTAATCCGTCTTGAAGTAGAACTTCAGATCTCAATATGTCATAAGAAATTTGAATTGTTTATCAGACCTGCAAGTATCTAGGAGTGTGGGTTGATAAGAGAAGGTTCCACAAGCACACAATATCCTTCCTTCTTTCTTTACCTTCTTCCATGTTGTTCCTTCTTTCTTTCTCTTATCTATCCTTTACACCTATCCATTACAATGGTAACAGTTATTGCAACCTACACATCTTACCCAACCCAACGTAACCTAACGCAGCCTAAACCTACCTAACCTTACCCCAACCTATCCTAACCCAACCCAGCCTAATCTAAGCTAACACATCCCAACGATAAATAGGGTTTGGACAATGAGACACGGAGCTTGGAACCGCCTGGTGAGAACCCTATCCCCTCCAACCAGGACGGGGTGTGAGGTGTTACTGTCGAGTTACGTGATAAATACGGCAGAATATGCTCACTCATCCCCCTCCCCCCTCCGTCAACCAGGTACTACCACTCCTCACTGCTCAGCTTTCTACCGGAAGTAAGGCAAGTAGACCAAGGTCAAGCAGGGGAAGGGAGGGAAGTGGGGGTGCTGAGGGCAGGGGGAAGTGGGCAAGGAATTAGTAGTTACCTTGTTCGGGCGTGAACCCGCTCTTTGACTTCGGGCGTGAACCCGCTCTTTGACTTCGGGCGTGAACCCGCTCTTTGACTTCGGGCGTGAACCCGCTCTTTGACTTCGGGCGTGAACCCGCTCTTTGACTTCGGGCGTGAACCCGCTCTTTGACTTCGGGCGTGAACCCGCTCTTTGACTTCGGGCGTGAACCCGCTCTTTGACTTCGGGCGTGAACCCGCTCTTTGACTTCGGGCGTGAACCCGCTCTTTGACTTCGGGCGTGAACCCGCTCTTTGACTTCGGGCGTGAACCCGCTCTTTGACTTCGGGCGGGAACCCACTCTTTGACTTCGGGCGTGAACCCGCTCTTTGACTTCGGGCGTGAACCCGCTCTTTGACTTCGGGCGTGAACCCACTCTTTGACTTCGGCCGTGAACCCGCTCTTTGACTTCGGGCGTGAACCCGCTCTTTGACTTCGGGCGTGAACCCACTCTTTGACTTCGGGCGTGAACCCGCTCTTTGACTTCGGGCGTGAACCCTTTTTTGGGTTCTGGGACCTTCCGGGTCACTCGTTGTGGTGCCCTTGCGACGTTAGTGGGAAATTCGCGTATACCTGCAGGATACATACAGCATTTGACCTTTCCCCAGATGCCACCCACAACAGTCGACTAAGAAGACTAAGGCGGGTGTAGGACAGGTGTTGAGGCGGGTGTAGGTGTTGAGGCGGGTGTAGGACAGGTGTTGAGGCGGGTGTAGGACAGGTGTCGAGGCGGGTGTTGAGATGAGTGTAGAGGAGCGGGGCGCCACCCTCACCGGCTACACTGGGTGTTGCCAGCGTCCAGAACCTGAGTAACTTGTGTAGTTACTCCTGTGTAGCTCCTATTTCTCTCTTATTATCACGTCTCTTCTCTCCTCTGCCCTCTTGTTACCCGGACACGGATGGTAACTTGTTGCATTCAGGTTAACAAGATCGATTTCCATTTCCGTTTGAGAGGGCATTGGTCGTCTGGCAGCGGGCACATTGATATAAACATTGGGCGCTTTTTATTCAGAAATGCTTGCACGATTATATAGATACCGTACTAGTGTATATATAAGTCTACAGTGAACAACCGCCAGTGGATAGTTCATGTCTTCACGTGCTGGCTCTTGTCTTAGGTCACTCAATGTATCACTTAATTGCCTAACTGGGAATTGGGACGATGTAATGTACCCTATGTAGTCAGACAGTCGACATGCTAAACAATGGTTCCTTATCTATCGACTCCCTACACCGCCCTCCTGATAGCCGGGCTGCATAACCCCGGTAGAGTAGATAATATCATATTAATGAATGTCGTTCAGAGATAAGAAAAAAACTATTCTACTTAAACCAGAGAAAATGTTACATTACGCAAAAGGTCAAGAAAAATATGCGCGGCTGGACATGCTGAAGTAACAGTAGGTTTTAGCTGTACGATAATACTTCCAGGTCGGTTATTTTGGGCGTCGTGAGCAGCTGTTGTTATCACGAGCAGACAAGGCGAGCAGTGAGCCGGCTTGCTGCACTGGGCCATCAACACAGCATAACGCTGCCTTCTGAGTCCTCACGCCTCTCTCCACTCCCAGCCACGTCATAAACTGAGAGGTGAGATATGCTAACAGAACCACAGGGGAAGGGTGTGTGTGGGGGAACCACAGTGGGAGTCACATGTATGCTCCTGGGTACAGAGAATACACTATATAGCACAGTATAACAAGTGACAGGATGAACAACCCAGCGGGGTTTCTTCCTATTGCGGAGTGTTGTACATGCTGCTATGGGGGTGTATCCACTCACAGGATGAGTGACGCTGCCCAATAAACTCGCCCCTCGGGGCAAAATTAAATTAAAAATTAGTATGGCAGAGCGAAGCATAATAAATGGACGAAACTTAAATAGCCTCTCTTACAGGAGGTTGATGAAGTGTGGGGATGGCCGCAGCGGCACCAGAGGGCCAGGTGCCGCCCCTAGAGACGGCCCTCTCCTGTGGCGTGTGTCTTAGTGACTTTGACGCTGTGTTTCGCCGCCCTCTTATCCTACCCCAGTGTGGCCACACCTTCTGCAGGCTGTGTATCAAGGACCTCGCCGCCAGGGGTGACATTATCTGCCCCTCCTGCAGGTATGTTGTCACACACACACACACACACACACACACACACACACACACACACACACACACACACACACACACACACACACACACACACACACACACACACGTATAGTAGTAGTAGTAAATATATGTAGTAGATATAATAGAGGATAATATATTGGTTATAAAGGCGGGGTCCAAGAGCTAAAAGCTCGATTATGCAGACACAAATAGTAAAATACACACAGGTAGAGTTTAAACTTCAAGCAATAATGTCACAAAAGAGACTTGTGCAACAGAACATTATTTAGACTTTTTTCTGTACAGACACAAATACCCGAGTGTGGAGCCCGACGCCCTGCCAGTCAACTTTAACATACAGTGTTTGGCCTCATCCAGCAAGCTTCTCCTTGCTGCCACCAAGGTAAGACTCACCCAAGACACTATACCTTCACACACACACCTCACTGACAAGTGTCACCTGATTTTCCTCGGAGGTTACTAGGTAATAAGGAAGGTAAGGGTGTGCAGGTGGAGAATGGGAAGCCTTACTGCTATATCTCAACTGATACACTGACGAAATACTGTTATCAAAGGAAACCGATCAGCAAAAATAACAAATTAGGAACAGTAAGCTGGAAGACGTGAGGATAGAGTAGCGGTGCATACAAACAAACCATCATGGAACACGTTAGACATAGGGAGGAATACAATATACACAACACAATATGATCTGGCCAAAGGTAGTCTAATAGCAAGAGCAGCCACAGCGGTAAGACACACGAGCCGTAACACATATGAGAAGCGACAGCCAAGGTTCCAATTCTTGGGGATTTTAATCACAGTGAACAAGACTTGGTAAGAAAGGAGCCTGACAGAGATGACACAACTTGGAGGGAAAAGATGGTGGACAAATACATCTTGAGGCAACGTGTCACACAGCAGACATGACGATGGCCACAGTACCCCCCCCCCCCCCAACAACAACATTATACTTGACCAGACCACACACTAGAAGGTGAAGGGACGACGACGCTTCGGTCCGTCCTGGACCATTCTCAAGTCGATTGTCAATAAAGTTGATTGGCTGATTGTACTTCAGCCACGTTATTATGACTCATCGCCTGCATTATACTTGATGTTTACCCAATATGATGCTGCTGTTGTGAAGATTGAGTATGAGATGCCTTTGAGATCCGGCGCCATTGTCTTAGATGTCAGAGTACATAGTATAACTAAACGAGGGAGTCACGTAAAGAAACTAACACATAAGGAGGAGAAAGATTATAGACGAGGTGACTGCAGAGAAAGGGAAAGGTAGGAAAGCGCCAAGCCATTACGACTATATAGCACTTGGAAGGGGTCAGGATAAGGATTTGGGATGGGACGGGGGGAAGGAATGGTGCCCAACCACTTGGACGGTCGGGGATTGAACGCCGACCTGCATGAAGCGAGACCGTCGCTCTACCGTAGTGAGAGTCTACATTCAAGAAGTGCAATGGAAAAATAACTAGAATGGAAGGCAACAAACTTGATTAAGGAATTCATATTCCGGAAATGTGCAGATGCCACAGCAGGTCATCCCACTCAAGAATAAAAAGACGACAACCGCAAAGTAAACCATTAGGTCAATAGGCAAAGTGGGAACAGGAGAGAACCAGGAGCATGGAAGAGGACGCTCGCTACGGAGAACAACCGACGGGTCGGACAAGTAGCCAGACATGACGACACCAGTTTATTTTTTTTTTTAGATATATACAAGAGTTGTTACATTCTTGTAGAGCCACTAGTACGCGTAGCGTTTCGGGCAAGTCCTTAATCCTATGGTCCCTGGAATACGATCCCCGCCGCGAAGAATCGTTCTTACAACCGAGTACACATTTTACTGTTGAGTTAAACAGAGGCTAAAGTTAAGGATTTGCGCCCAGTAAATCCTCCCCGGCCAGGATACGAACTCATGACAAAGCGCTCGCGGAACGCCAGGCGAGTGTCTCACCACTACACCACGGAGACTAAAGTTTGGTCTGGAGAGAAGCTGAGATACAATTTGAAAAACAGAGTATCAAAAGCTGAAGACCAACCAAAGCTGCTTCATGGGAACAAAAGCAGGAAAGCAGCATTAAGAGATCATGTTATCAGGTTGAAAAAAAACTAAGAAGGACATTCTCACAAGTGTTTACTAGTTGTGTTTTTGCGGGGGTTGAGCTTTGCTCTTTCGGCCCGCCTCTCAACTGTTTACTAACTACTTTTTTTTTTCCCCCACACCCCACACACACACCCCAGGAAGCAGCCCGTGACAGCTGACTAACTCCCAGGTACCTATTTACTGCTAGGTAACAGGGGCACTTAGGGTGAAAGAAACTTTGCCCATTTGTTTCTGCCTCGTGCGGGAAGTAACAAGCTGCGTGAGGAGCTGAACCAAAGGTTCCAAGTTGTTTACAAACATAACCAGTTTGGAGACCGAGGGAAGGACGCCAGTCTACCAGAAGCAACATATAATGATTGCAGTCCCCGTGGTGTAGTGGTAAGACACTCGCCTGGCGTTCCGCGAGCGCTATGTCATGGGTTCGTATCCTGGCCGGGGAGGATTTACTGGGCGCAATTCCTTAACTGTAGCCTCTGTTTAACGCAACAGTAAAATGTGTACTTGGATGAAAAAACGATTCTTCGCGGCAGGGGATCGTATTCCAGAGACCATAGGATTAAGGACTTGCCCGAAACGCTACGCGTACTAGTGGCTGTACAAGAATGTAACAACTCTTGTATATATCTCATCAAAAAAAAAAAAAAAAAAAAAAAAAAAAATACAGTAGCCGCTGATGAGGCAGCAAAACAACGCCTGGAGGTACTAGACGTAACAAAGGCAAGATAATAATAATAATAATAATAATAATAATAATAATAATTTTTATTTAGGCAAAGGTACATACATAAAGAGATTTTACAAAGTTTGTTGGCTTTATAGATAGAGCTAGTACATACAATGCCTAAAGCCACTATTACGCAAAGCGTTTCGGGCAGTTTATTATCAGGCTGCTGTAGGAGGACACTGCCACCCGTTGATTTACATTTATAATAAAACACGGCACTCAACTCCCTCCAGAAACACTCATCAGCTTCACACTAATACTTTATTCATCACTTCCACACATCGGACATCTATTTTCTCCACCCACCACACCGCCAACCGTTTGGGTCATCGACAAGTGAATGCAGTTACCCCTAACAAAATAATAGAAAACGAATATTGTAAAAAGTTAACAAAAAATGTAAAGTTTAGGAGAGACTACAGTAACCTTATGTGTGATCCTATTTGCACCTGACAGCTGTCGTATCTTGAAACTTTACTCGTAACGAGATCATTAGATCAGCGAGACATATATTATAAAATCATGATAACGATAAGATAATTTGATAACCGAATATAATCAAATTATACCATAAAGTTATAGATATTTGCACAACCTCAGCATTTTACATCAATATATTTAGGGCTCGGCCCGGATAAAACTCACCCCGAATGCACAACTTGGCTAACACAGGTCTGAGCTCAATAGGAATTATAATGCTTGTTAATAACATAAACAAACATCCAGCTGGAGATGTCCCCCTTGTCTCTCAGCTCACTAGTTGATATTATTGTGTACTGTATACCTACTGTATTACTGTATTCATTACTCATTCTTAACTTGTATTTCCTGACGGTATCTGTCATGTCTGGTAAGTGGAGGACCTTAAGACCTGTACCTTGTACCCGGCGACTGTCATATCTTGTACCTGGAGACTGTCATATCTTGTACCTGGAGACTGTTATATCTTGTACCTGGAGACTGTTATATCTTATACCTGGAGACTGTCATATCTTGTACCTGGAGACTGTTATATCTTGTACCTGGAGACTGTCATATCTTGTACCTGGAGACTGTTATATCTTGTACCTGGAGACTGTCATATCTTGTACCTGGAGACTGTCATATCTTGTACCTGGAGACTGTCATATCTTGTACCTGGAGACTTATATCTTGTACCTGGAGACTGTCATATCTTGTACCTGGAGACTGTTATATCTTGATGACATATGATGTGTGCGTGCATGTGTGCGTGCACGTGTGCGTGAGCTACAAGAGTGTGTGTTGCAGGAGGAGGAGCAGGGGAGCCTGTGTCCGGAGCACCGTGTTCGTCTGGCCTTCTGGTGCAAGAGCTGCGAGGTGGCCGCCTGCGGTGAGTGCCTCTTCGACCGCCACCCGCCGCAGGATACTCACGCAGTCTGCCGCATCCTGGAGGTGGTGGAGCAGGTGGGTGGTGCAGGTGGAGGCCGTGGGGTAGGTGGTTGTGCAAGTGGTTGGTGGTGCAGGTGGGTGGTGGTAGTGATGGCGCTGATGGGTGGGGATATAGGTAGGTGGTTGAGGAAGTGGGTGGTAGTGCAGGGGGGGAAGGTGGTAGGTTTCCCACGGTACTCCTTACTCTACCAAACCTGTGGGTTAGGTTATTTATTAGTTCATGTATGTTTAAAATACTGAATTAGATTTGGGTTGTGTTGAAGAAAAATATTGATTGTTAACATCTCTGAATAAGCCAGAATGTTGTTATTGCTACATGAATGCGTTAATTTTGGTCCATAAACAAATACTGACCAGTTTGTAAACATTAATAGTATTCCCAGAGTGCTAGAATTGTTCAACTTTTAGGGTGGAGGTTTAGGGTGGAGCTTCAGGGTGGAGATTTAGGGTAGAGCTTTAGGGTGGAGCTTCAGGGTGGAGGTTTAGGGTGGCAGAGCTGTGTGATCCGGCAGCAATGTGTGCGTGTTGAAGGTGCGGGGAAGAACCCAGATAAACTGTTTTATTTCCTCGTGTCTGTATTATATGTTAATTACATGTATTATCCGGCGGTGCCCGGGTCAAGAGGGAGGAAATGATAAGAAAAGTCATGTTGTGGGATCGCGGTGATGTTGAGGTGAACACTGTCTTGTTAGGAAGACAGGTAGACGCATCTCGTCACGTGAGGCACTAACGAGTGGTTATATGTGACAGGTGAAGCAGCGGGCTGAACAACTGTCTCTGGAGAGCTGCGAGGAAGTCATCTTGCGTCTTGGGGACTCCGTCAGCCGCACACTCCGTGCCTTGTCTGACATACAAGAGGCCGCCCACCTCCTTCAGGAGACGGCCAGAATCTACCGCAATGCCCAGACGGCCAGCAACTTGTCCTCCATCACCTCCGTCTTCGAGGCGGCCAAGGGCGTGCACGACAGGGTGTGGGCGCTGGGAAAGGGCGGCCAAGAGGACTCCTCCGTCAGTATACCTGACGAAGTAATCATGAGTTCGAGACCAGCCATCCTGGCCCTCAGCGACAGTGGAGGCCTGGCGCAGGTGAAGGTGGAGCCGAAGGGGATCCACGTGTACAGCCTCCGGCCATCCTCCACGGCCTACAGTGTTGCCATCAAGGTCAGGAAAAGGCTTGGTTTTTTCCCCTATTCTCTCTATAACTCAGTTACCTATAAATGAACAAATCCACAAGGGCCGTGACGAGGATTCGAACCTACGTCCGAGATCATCCCAGACGCTGCCTTTATCGACTGAGCTACGACATGGTTGGCCCTTGTGGATTTGTTCATTTGATGCATCACGCTATTGTGATTTCTGTGTGTCAGTTACCTATATATTACCTATCTATTTTATCTCTACATTCATCTCTTTATTTTTTATGCATATAGCTATTTAACTGTTTACATAATAATAGATATAGGGTGCACAATAAACAAGCCGCCGCTGGCGTCAACAAAGTATGGGCGCCATGTTGTCACCTTGGGTGACAAGGTTGGCGTCACCATTTACAGTAAGGTGTGTCATAGCT